CCTCGTCCGAGGATACACACGAGCCACTTTTTGAGCCTTTATAACTTTCTAACTAGCTTTCCGACCTAATAATGCCACATATGGTATACGCAGGGGCTTCATTCATCCTGTGAAGGAGTCTCAGAAAACACTTTTATCGTGAACTGTGCCTTTAGGCTTTGCCTTGTATAGTTAAGCGTTCAGTACTGAGGAATTCCCCGCTTAGACAAGTAGCTCTTCGTTTTCTTTTTCGCTATAGTATAGTATGATCTCTCCATTTCTGTCTGCAGATAGTAACATCAGTATGGATTGTGGTGTGCTGAACTCGGATTTGGTTCAAAGTTATCAGTTCATTTGGGTGGGGTGGCTCATAGATCAGCGATCGTGCTCCTGTCATTTTGCTGACATCCACGAAATGGAGAACGGTTGCTGCCTCTGACGTACTTCAGTATCGGGTGGTCGAGCAAGGTTCCCTCCCGTATTCTGCTGAAAGATAAGACTTTCAACACTCCTCTCAGGGTTCGGGTTTACCTGTAGTGGCAGCCTACTATGCCGAATATACGATATCAAGGCAGCTCAAAGCTCATTTGTACCATCTTTCTTGAACCGCTGGTGGCAGGCAATGGAAGTTTGCAAAGTTTTGGAAGTTACTCAGGGTTCCGTGTCATAAACATGAGTCTTATGGAAGTTTCCGAAAGGTATCAAATTTTATTTCAAGCGCCCGTTTTTCGTATGAGGTAATGTGTAATACATTGTACTGATGAAAATCTTAATGTCTTATCTTTTTTTCCGCTGAAAATCTGTCGGGACACGTAGTATTAGCAAATCGCCTTCATTTCCGTGCGCTAATGGCAGTGGTAAGCCGTTATCAACAGAACCGTGCTCTCCCAACCCCATATATGAAGTAGGAAAGGTTCCCCATTGATTACATCTCACGAATGAAGCATTCAATTCAAGTTCAAAGTGCATGCCCTTGAGTAGTTATGGGCAGTAGGATTAGGAGGAATGACCAATTATTCTCTGATATCATTAAGGATAAGCAGAACACTATAGGGGAACACAAAACTCGAATCAGAGATAAAAGGGGAGTTGGGACCGTGGGTCCGGGGCAAGGTGCATCGAAGGGAGTCCCTACTTAACCGAGCACAATTTTATCGCTTTTGTTTCCGTTGTTTTTAGCAATGTTGATGATAATCTTTCGTGATACTAGTTGATAATGCAAGGTAATATACGATATCTTTATTAGACAATACCTTTAAGTAGATGTCCTAGAACTAACTCTTTCTAGTCTACTATCTAACGTATCGCCATGATCCGTTCTCTTGTTGGGATCGGCACTGAGTAATGGATGAGTTACTGGGGTCCTTGAATCGGCCGAAAATGGTAGAGAACTCCTTCGACGCCAAACACATGTGAACGTTTTCAAGAAATGTTTCTAAAATAGCAAAATTTGGTTTAAGTTAAGGTAGTTTCAAAGTAAAACCATTACCAGGTAGATTCCTAGACCTGTTAGGATACCGATAATGAGCAGAAATACCAGTTGTTCAAGAACTCGACCAAAATTGAAACCATTCTGATTGTAGGGTTCACAAATGTCCTGACTATCGATCGCTACAAATTCGTGTCCGACTTTTTCGTAAAAAAGTCTGCCCCCCATTGCTAACTAGAAGTATTGACTGAAAATTCAAGATTAAAAACGGAATTTAGATCCGCCCTTATTGATTAGGTTAATCGAAATCCATGGAACTGACGATAATGTGAATAAACAAATCAACAACAACAGTGCGGACAACAGGTCTTGTTCTAGGATGAGAATACTAGATTATTTGGTGGGAATAGTGAAAAATCATAGGAAAACTAACCAAAAAATGGACAACCACTGTTACCGACGTCTATGGCAACCAGTTGAAGTGTCGCTCGTTGAACTCGTCATTCTTCGATTCGAGCCAACCAGTCGATTCTCGACGTAAATGGTCGTGGAACATCTTTTTGCTCAGAACATGAGTCACTGGTTGGAAGAGATGCAAGTGGGACGTCAATAGTTCAGCTGAGTACGATGGATGGTCGAGCATCTTCCATCCCAAATCGATCAAATCGACTTCTACCTGCTCTATACGGGGGGGGGGGGGGGGGGGCTGTATGCCTTCGATAATGGCTCCGTGGTGCTACTCCTTCAAGCAGCGAGCTGTTTATGCTCTTATGTCAGGTTGTTTTGTTTATTTCAGTTATCTACTGAGTTTTTCTTCATCATGCGAAAATGGTACGTCAAAGGATGAACAATGAACTTCTGAATTTAAATCTTCTAAATAAAAAAATGATTCTTACAAATCCCTCCTCTATGAGCAAGACTTGTCTTCCAACTCGGTGGAAGTGATTGCTGCAGAGAGAAAAGAAGGTTTTGGAAGAGAATGAACGAAGTCTAACGAGTTCTCAGCCTTTTACAGAACGAAGAAGTCCCAGTAGTTGGCGCTGTAACGCCCGAAACTGTGACCAAATTTGTGCCGAAGTGTTCACGTAGCACCTCATTTTTTGTGCTCTCTCAGGGGGCTAAACCAAGGGATTTACTATTTTGCTAGGATGAATATAGGAACATAGAACAGGTCGTAGTAAAACTCGGAGGACAAAAATAATGTCAAGTAAACAGAAAGAAAATAACAAAAAGCAAAACAAAACAAAAATGGGATGAAGGAAAGTCAGGCATCGTGGTACAATCAGCTCAATACGGTCAACTGGACACATAAATGAAACTAACAATGCTTTCATATCAGTTTTTCATTTCAAAGACTCTAGTTTTATATGTGAAATTTTTATAAATTTGAATGTTTCCACCATGTTCATAAATGCTTGCAAATAACGCGGGGCAAGGTGGAGCAGTGGCAAGTAGCGCCCCATCTCAAACACATGGTCTGTGGTTCGCATCCCGGACGAATACCCCGCTAGGCCCCTGACTTCCATCCCTACAAAGTCGGGTAAATGCTTTCAGACTCGTCTGGGAAGATAAAAGCGCTGTCATCGGCTGACCACAGCAATTCATTGTATACGTCAAATTCGCACTCAATCGCTACTACTATTGTGAAGGGAAGTCGAATGCAGGGCGCATCCCCCAGACGGGTATGACTGGCGTCAAAAACCTTATTCTTCATATCTTTCATCCTAATGTCAAAGCAACGCTGAGTCCACTCTAAATTTGCATTATTCTGTAAAAAATGGAAAGAATTTGTAGATACGGTCTAATTCAGCTAACTCAGTTCTATCACAAATGATTAAAGTATAGAAGTTAAGTGGAGACCGGAAGATAAAAGCGACTGACATGGCTTTCTCCATAGCTGGTTGAAGGAAGTTTCCAGTCACCCTTTTAGTCACCTCATTCAGCCATTGATATTTTTTTTTACCTGATGGACAGCCCGTTATCAAGCCACATGTAATGGCAGATTGTGAGGAATCGATGAAAGGCATATCTGACATTCAAGAAAACCTCCATTCCAATTGGTTTTTCTTAGTGATCATTCAAGATAAGCCCATTTACATTCGTGGGTGATTAGAAGTGTAGTCTCAATATACTACTATATGGTCTACTATAATATCAAGTATTGTAATCGAGGCAAAAAGTTTTTGATTTGTCTATTCTACACTTACAATTAGTCAACAACCTTGAGCATCTGGAACTGACGAACTTCGAGTGGAAATTAAAAAAAACACTCTGATTTTTACAAGTTGTGTTGTTTCGTGATGGATTTTCCAGCCCCTCTTTATTCTCTATATAGAATATATTCTCTATATATTCTATATAGAGGACAAAGAGATTCATTGGCGAAGGTGGTGTATCGGCAAGTGGCTCACCATCACACCTGCATGGTCATGGTTTAAAGTCCCGGATAGATATCCGCCCATCCTTCCATCCCTCCGGGATCGGCAATTGATACCACACTTGCTTGCGATTATAAAAGCAACGACTTTGTACATTGGCTGGCCAACGCAAGCCATTGTATAGGCCAAATACGCACTCACTACGCCACTACGATTCCAAATGGAACTCGAAGGCACGGCGCATCCTAAATGCGGGGTTGGTTCACGCCTGAAAATTCGACATTTGCAAAATATGTATAAGATACAAAGATATGATATAGTCTTATTACTATATATTATATTTTCAAACCATACATTTTGCTTTTTTTTTCTAGCTAAATGTCCGCGGAGTTCTGTGCTTTTTCCGCATTCTCCGCTATATTTCCATAAAAAAAAACAAAAAAAAACTAGCAAACTATAGTTTTTCCTTCCTCTTTTCTCTGAATGGCAGACCAAATAATCAAGAATTGTGCCAGTTGAGCGCTTTGCACTACCTCGAATATCAGTTCATTGTACTTTTTAATATGAATAGCGTCTTTCTCAATTTATCTCATCTAAATTCGGGTGATTTTTATATTTATGTTTATTTATATATTTATGTTTATATTTTGCAGAAAAACCATACCAACTCGTCCAGCTAATGAAAGAAACAGGGAGAGAGTTGGAGAGAAGCTGTTACCAATTTAGAATTCCTATTTTATTCAATGAATCTTTGCCGAGGGGAATATAGTGTTCTTTTTATTTATATCTATATTTTTTGTTTAGTTTAATTTTTTGTTACATGAAACCTCCGCTTCCTGTCAATCTCCTTATCACAGGTTTTGTTGATGTGAATGTGCGTCTCTTGGTTTTTCTTAATGTCATCGATTTTTCCAGGCTTTTGACAAACTTGGCTTTTGATTTTTACTAAAATTGGTCAGAGCTGATCCTCATCAATAGAAAAAAGCTGATAGCCAATATGGGGGAGTATGAACGCAGGAAATGAAACTTCAACCTATAGAATTATGCTAAAAATGTCGCTGGAGGTCGCTAACTCATTACACCCGGCAATTTACTTTTCTATAGAACCAGTTACCAAATATCACAGGGTCTCGTACAGGTACAGGTCATTGTCTCAAGAAAGAAACCAGTTTTTCATCTTCTAAGCGGACCTTGATGAGCTCGTGGCATATAGCGCCTAGTATGTATACCCATGGCTGTCTGAATAAACCCCAGCTCAATATCTGCTCGGGACCACTAAGCCTCCCATTCTTTCATAGTCTGCTGAAGTCAGTCAGTAGAGTTAGACCCATTTGCGGGGAGAAGGGAGGGGGTAGGGACAAAAGCACAAGCATAAACTCCACTACCCTTGTCCCCTCTCTACATCTTGGAATCATTTTACAGGCAATTCCAATCAGCTATTGCCACGTTCCTGATTGGAAATGGATTAGGAACCTATCCAAAAAAGGAATCGATCGTGATTTTCACCCATTCTACTTACCATTAGATGGAATTCAAAAAGTTGTCGTATCATTTCGTAGCCCACTGTAGTGGAAGATGCATCAGCTTCCTGAGTCAGAGCCATCGTCATTGACGGAAATCGAGGGAGTGGTTGTCACGGTTACCAAAAAGAAGAGCTGGTTTGATTTTTTATTATTTTTCGGTGACTCAACACCAGTTAAGTGGAAAATGAAAGCATAAATAATGATAGAACATTATGAGCACATCAATCAAAGATCATCACGAAGGCGAGTAAAAAGTGCTTTGCACAAAAAAAACGGGCGAATTCCTGGAATTCCTCAACCACAACACTGTAGGAAGGACAATCCGGAAAGACGAAAGTCCTGTGGTCTCACGGAAAGATCACAGCAATTCACACGGACGAGAATTCCGGTGGGCGAGCTAAGGGGGAGGTGTGACGACTTGGTGACGATTCCACTGAGTAACCGGGCGGAGAACTGAAAACTCGTTTACACTTTTTCTTCTGATTTCGAAATTGAAGTTGACATTTAAGATGGCATACTTACATGGTTCGTGCTTGGCCCAGAGGACGACTTCGGGGCTCCCGCTCGAACATTGGGATGTCTGATGCTTCCGAAGGTTGGGCAAACACTCTCGGCTTCTCGTAGACAGTCAGAGGCTCCTAAAATGTAGTCATTGTATCGGGAAAACGAGAGGGGAGTTTGGCACGTTCAATTGTGGATCTAGGAATTCCTGAAAAGATCTAGAGGCACAGCTCACTCTAGGTGAAGGTCGTAGTGTTTACGAACCCAGCTTACCGCTTCCGGTCCGACAGTACTACTGATTCTCGGTGGTGAAGTTCGTTTCTTTCGATCCGACTGTTTGATGATCCAGCAAACGGCGAATATCCCTACAAGGGCGAGAATAATCCCCAAAGTGATCGACATCCATTGGAGCCAGACGAGAATATTGTCTTTTGCTCTGAAATGAGTGTGTTAGTCACCACTTTACTTTATTTTAATGGCCTCCTCCCCCTGCCCAACAAGATTAAAGTCGACATCTGCTCAAGTTTCTCGAAGCTTTACCCAAAGAGCCAATCGTGGATGCCAGGCAGTTACCCCTCTCGATTTTTTGATTTAATTTTTGATCCACCAGTGAAAAACTAACTTTGAATCAGCTTCTGCCCGCCAGAAGCGGAATAGGGACCAAAATTTCCTCCTTTATGTGCGCGGCACTCTCCACAGAAGTTCTAAGCGATGGGAATGAGTGGTTCGTGCTCTGGGAACGAACAGATTCTACTGGAGCTATAAAGGGGAGACGTGTCTGATCGCTGCCCAATGAAATCGATGATCAATACGACAAGAGGCGACAAGCGGCATATAATCACCATTATTTGGGTTATAGGATTCATTTCTTGATTTATTATCGATTATCACCCAATATCACTCTCGGGTGCTGATCTTTACTGTCTCTTTGACTCATTCCCATTAACAACTGGTATAAATCTCATAATCATCTAGACAAGTTGGACAGTTCCCTGACCGGTCGCTTTCTGCCACACCCACCCTGTTTTACCGTCCTGTTATTTAGACTTTTACCAACATGAAGATTCTAGGTAAATACGGAGGATACTGAGAGTTATCGGGCGAATCGCACACACACGCCCACTCATCGACTGATTGGGTGAGTTATTACTGAGTGACACTTTGTATTACTTATTATTACATTACATTATTTACAACATGAATTCTTTGTTGCTAGCCCCTTCAAATATCCTCAAGAGGTACCGTATGATTGTGGCAGAGATGGATGGACTACGTGACTTTTTGTGGTACAAAATGTATGTTCACGTCATTTTCGAGATGTCGAGGACATTTTTGGTAGTTAACGAAGGGAGAGTTCACTAAAAGTTCTGAAAGGTGAGGAAAGATGAATAAAAGGACCTGTGCCGGCACCAGGGTTGGCCTCCTTGGGTCCATTGCATCCTCCAAGTGTTGTCATCCTCATTTCGGATCTTCTGACCTGTGAAACACTTTGTAGAACTTTAAAATCCCGACAGTTTAGACACTCAAGTTACTCACATTGAAACTCGGTATCGCCTTTGATAATGTGTGTCTGGAAACAGCTGAATGACAGTTTATCGCCTTCCAAATAGGCCGGTTCCCCACTGGATGGCCCCTTGATCAGATACTCTGGGTATTCGATATTCATAGCACCGCATGAGTTGTCTGCAAGTATACGTTTTATCGATATGCGATTTATGGCCATTTTTCGTTGTGTCCTTCTCCCTTGACAATATTTTACGGTATTTTTCTTTTATTTAGTGGAAGCATTTGAGCAGACAGATTTATGATCCTAATATTCTCTCCACCAATACTGTCTTTGATAAGAAACTATTCGAGTAGTCTCAGAGTGACTGCTGGTGGCTCATTTTAAGTGAAGGAGCGTGTAAGTGACTGTTTGCTTTTGAGGATTCGTTCATCTTCATTCCACAGTCCAAAACCTTTCACCAGCTGCTGTTAGGTAATTACCATTAGGTAAATGGAAATACCCGCAAACATTTATTTCTCTGCAAATCACTAAATGAAGACTGCTGGCTTCGCTTGAAAATTACTGAGAGGAGTGGAGTGTCTTCCAGAGAAAAATTCTGAAACCTGTTAAGGTGACCCCAAAACGCTTCTCCTTCTTACCTCTCCCCTTCGCTCCCCTTGGTCGTTTTCCTGCTTTTAGGTTTGTGGGTTGGTCAGATTCTAGCCTGGGTAGTAACGCGTTTCCACGATAACCAAATTAATAGCGCCGTTGTGTCACGAGTCCCTACCACCAGTCTGTTGAAGATAAAGGGTTCTGGCAAGACAAACAGAGAAAAACGCTGTGCGCGCATCGTCCTGGTTCAAACTGGGTTACTGTGGTGGCGCGTCTTGACCCATATCCCATGTGGTCCTATGTGGTCCTATCGTTTAAAACCAGACTCAAACTATCAATTCAAAATGATAACCAAGGCTTCTTTCAAAAAGTTCAGTGAGGAACGTACAACGAGCAGCTCCCTCAATCCGTTGGGTGAGATAGTAGTTGTAAGACATCCTTGCCTCGTCACCAAGTAAGCGTGCCTTGAAAAGCTCTAATTATCAATTCTAATTAATAAATTATAAACAGTGTCAGCACAAATAAATTAGCCTACTTGTAACATGACAGAATCATAGAGGCAAGCGACGTCGTTTCCACAGTCAGACTCGAGAGAAGCAAGATCAGTAGGACAGCGTAGGTACAACTGCCTTTCCTCCGGGAACTCGTAATCCGGGTCCCCTGAACAAAGAAGAGTGTTTGAGGCTTTAGAAAAAGGTTGTTGATCTTGTCTGAATTTCAAATTTTAAAGTTTTCCGTTTCCTTCTACTTTTAGTCTGTTAAAATCAATTTAAGGAAGGTTCCCATTGCAACAGGACTTCCAAGATAGAATAAGAAGGACGTACTTCTTGGTGTTCTACAAAACGCCAAGAAGTTTCTGAAGTCGTTTTCGTTTTGTGGTCGGAAGGCATAGCGACTCCTGAAGTATGAAAAGTGCGAGAGACTGTTCTGACTGTGGGATCACCAACATCCTCAACTCACGTTTGATATTTGGATGCCATTTTGTAGACAGGCCCTTTCAGGAAGTGATCAGCGTAGGCCTAGAAAATTGATTTTAATCGAAGCAGGGTCTATTTGAAAGCTCTTAGAACATTTGTGGCTTGGAGCAGACCTGAAATAGGTTCTCTCGGTCACTTCTGGATGCAAATAGGTCCGAGACATCATCGGCTTGTAAGTTCACATTCATCGTCTCCATTTCGCCTTTGATTTTATCTGAAAGAACATCTTCATCTTTATTCATTTCCCTTTCCCTATTATATTCCCCACTACAACTCGAAAGGCTTATATGATGGAAGAGCGATCTTTACTGGGTCATCAATTTAATTTGTGCTCATTTCTGGGTCATAACTGGTACTCCTAGAGTGTTTTGAGTACTATTTAGAGGTCCATTACATTCTTGTCAGCCAACAATTAGACAGCGAAAAGTCGCATTGTCGGTGAATGTTATTAGGGAAACCAGAAATAGGCCTGCACAGGTCGATTTCGATCGCGATAGGTCCTCTCTAGGATCGATGGGACATGAGACGTCTTTCAGGGAAGCGATGCGGACCATTCTGGATGTCTTTACTCCCACGTCTAACGACGGAGACGGTTGACTTGTTTTGCTGGGGAGGAGACTGGTAATTAAGATTAGATAAAAGGTTTTTGAAGGGAACTTTAAGCATTTTCCCCCGTTATGAGCCACATATGAGTTACCCGAGAACGAAGATCCACTAGGTTTTCCATGAGGCCATACTCCTTCCCTATTGGATTTCAGAAACATGAGTAACAATTTTGTAAGACCTTGTCCTGCTCAGTCTTCTGGTATGGTGGGTTAGTTCCGAACGGGACCATACTGTGGGTCCAGTATGAAACCGACTAGTTACAATATCTTCGTTAATAAACTTCTTTTTTCCAGTGCACAGCTTAACCTACACTTCATAAGCTGTCCTCGTATTCCTTGGTCATTCACGCTTGTCCATGTCAACTGGGAAAACTGCTGTTGGAATGGTTCATCTGGGAACGGATTGATCAGTCCTTCGACACGAGGGGTGTCGGCGGTACGTACCACCGATGGCTGCTGGAACAGACCTGTCAATATGGATTTCGGTGCTCTGTATTCAAAAGCGGAACCTACATTGAGAACTTTGTATTGTGGTGGAACCGATATTTGCACATCCAGTAAACCAAGGCTTTCCATATAGTTAAACTTCCGATCGATATCAATTGCATAGGATTCCCTGATTCGCATTCCGATCTGTGCCTGATCCAGAACCACATAGATTTCCGACTGGCCCTTCTCGACGTTGTTTACGTAAACAGTGACTCCTGAACGGAAATTACTGTAGCAACTGGCAGTACCTGCAGTCATTATTGTATGCGATTGTCGACATCTCAATGTTTGCCGGACGGAATCAATGAAAACTGGTCTTACCGCGAAAACGTTGAATGTGCATATTGTCGAAGTACCGTATCACATTGCCAACAATAACGGATGTCTTATAGCGTTGTCTGTAGGTGTCCTTCCGTAATACGATGTGCACTCTACAATGAATTACCGATGAGAAATGGAACAACCAGGCGTGCGCAAGCGGCGCGGTCACCGAAGCGTACTGAACAACCATCGAGTCAGGTTTGTCCCTATTTAGATTCCACTTCCCTGGGAAATGCTCTTACCGAGACCATC